AAGCTGTGGGTGAAGAAGCGTTTCCAGGTGAGGGCTCCGGGGGCGGGCGGCGCCGGGAGGGGGAAGGAAGAGCTGGGCGCCCCGGAGGGAGGGCGGGTCACCGCGGCTGGGCCCAGGGGAGGGGGCGTTGGAGTGGCGCTGGCCCCACCCCAGCCCCGCGGAGGGCCTTGGGCTGGGAGCGTTCTGGGGGGCGTCCTGGAGCGCCACTGAAGCGCGCAGGCCCCTCCTCGAGTCCTAGGGCAGAAACCCCCATCATCTCCCACCCCTGAGACTACCCCGGGGGAGACCCCCTGCAGCCACGGTTCGCAGTGCCCACTGGCTTCTTTGCCATCTGGCTCTTGTCCAGCTCCGGCCTCAGTACCTCGCCAGACTTTCCCTGGGCCCCCCACTCCGGAGCCCTCCATATTCCAGAGCTCCTGAAAGCAACGCACACGGATCCGTGCTGCGCTCAATAAATTTCTCCAAGCTCTGTCCTGTCTTCTGCTTACCGGGGGCCTCCTTCCTGCATTAGCGAGGCACTGCCCTTTTGGAGGACCTTATCCTTTGCCACTCCACTCCCCACCCTGTCTCCTAGATACTTAGCTCAGGTATCTGCCCTTCCCCCCAGCAGGAATCTGTGTCCTCGGCCCTCCCTCTCTAGTCATTCTAGCGCCCCCACTCCACCTTCTCCTCAGTCATGCTGACTACCTTGTCTCCTCCCCCTAATCACTGGGAGTGCTGTTCTGACCCCAGGCTGTGAGCTTCTGTCGGTTAAGAAGTCCTAGGGTTTGACCTACAGTCTTCTTGTTCCCTAGTCTTTGTCTGGTTCCTCCTCAGAGCCCAGTCTGGAGGATGGAGAACTGAGACAATTTCCTCCTGGGCAAGCTGGTAGCTTCATCTCTGTGCTCTGGCTCCTAGTATGAGTTTCTGCTTGATACAGCAGATTGGGGTAAAAAGTGTATGGATTCAGGAGCAAGCCTCCCCCTCAACAACTTATTCTGGCTTTTCTCTTTCAGAAAACCGGCCATTCCCGCCGGGCCTTTGGCCGACTTACCCATGGTGCGTGGACTTCGGGCTGCTATAGCCCATGCCCACTCCTCCTCTTGGTCCATGTCCCTTCATAAGGCATCAAGGCCCTGGAGATAGCCCATAAGATATGGGACCCCTTCCCCATCTACCCATCCCTGCAGGTCCTTTATCTCCTGCAGCTGAGAAAGGCCCTAGCTTTAGGGGGCTCACTAACACATCCCACCTCTGGCCTGGGCTCCCTGTTGTTCATCTGTGGGACCAAGTGAGGAGCATTTCATTGCCATGTCCTGGCAACCAGTACATGACTCCTATTTGTTATGGCACAGAGAGGGTAACTGAGGCACAGAATGTGATAGGCTCTGGAATGTTAAAAAATGCCTGGGGACCTTTACACCCAACCTAATTACTGGGCATTTCCAAAAACCATTCAACAATAGAGAAGGTTCTTCAGGAAGGTTCATGATGCAGACAAATGGGAGGTGCATTTGTAAGGAAGGACCAAGTACAGTACAAACACTGTAACAGAAGGCAGGCCTGACTCCTATCATTAGGGAGGCCTGAGTCTGTGGCTGGACTGGGCACAAACTGTGTGTGTGTGTGTGTGAATGGGAGCAGCAGTAAGTGCCAAAGGGTACCAGAATCCCAGAATCACTGGTACAGTTGGGATGACCAACCTGAGCATATGAACTCCCCAGTGGTGACACACCCTGGGTGTCTCCCTCCCCTCCTTATCCCCACAGGGCACCTCTGGGGTCTCTGGGCACAAGGGACCCTCATCCCCCTATGTTCTGCCTGCTTTCCATGCCCCATCCCACAAACACTCTGATAACTGTCTGTCCACATCTCTCTCCTGCTGCTCCTATGGAAGCGAAGTTTTCCGCTCCTGCAGAAAGCAAAGTTACGGTAGGAAGCTGGCTCCTGCCCTAGCCCCTCACCCCCTTCCCCTGCCCAGTCTGGGCCTCTCCTTCCCCTGCCTAGTTGTACCCTGATGCCTTCCAGCTGGTTTGGGGTTCAGGGCAGACTGGTCCTGCAGTTTGTTGTGTGCCTTGACAGTACAACTCTTTGGTGACTCCTCTTTGTTCCTGGGGTACTGGAACCCAGACTTTTGACCCTTGGAACCTAGGGCCTTATTTGGGGTGTTGCTGTACAAGAACTTAAGCTATTATGGACGTGGAAAGGAGAGAGAGGGGATGAGGGCCTGGTAAGCCATTAAATGGTGGGGGGGGGGGTTGGAGAGTCCCATTGAGGCAAGGGTGAGTATCCAAGGGTGAGTGGCCCAGAGATGGAGTTGCATGGGAGGGGCTACCTTAAGCGGCCCTGGCTGGGCAGGGAGATGTCACGAGCAAAAGAGAGAAGCTATCCCTGTGGTTAAGATAGAACTTGTTATGGGGGAGGCAGGAGGCAACTAGGGAAGAGTTGGAGGCATAGGGAGGAGAGCCCTGCCCACACAGACCCCTTCTTCTCCAGACTCAGAGACGGCTGAGGATGACATCAGCGATGTGCAGGGAACCCAGCGCCTGGAGCTTCGGGATGACGGGGCCTTCAGCACCCCCACGGGTGAGCTTTCTGGGTGCTCCAAGATCAGGCAGACAGGCTTCCTACAAGGGATGCCTTAGTCTCACTGTGCTCCTTTCTTTAGGGGGCTCTGACACCGTGGTGGGCACCTCCCTGGACACACCCCCGACCTCCGTGACAGGCACCTCAGAGGAGCAAGTGAGCTGGTGGGGCAGCGGGCAGACGGTCCTGGAGCAGGAAGCGGGCAGCGGGGGTGGCACCCACCTCCTCCCAGGCAGCCCAAGGCAAGCACAGGCAACCGGGGCCGGGCCACGGCACCTGGGGGTGGAGCCGCTGGTGCGGGCATCGCGAGCTAATCTGGTGGGCGCAAGCTGGGGGTCAGAGGATAGCCTTTCGGTGGCCAGTGACCTGTATGGCAGCGCATTCAGTCTGTACAGAGGACGGGCGCTCTCGATCCACGTGTAAGTAATGGCCTTACCTGGGCCCACACTGTCCCATCTCATTGTGCTGTCCTGCACTGCCTGTCACTGCTCCATCAGCCTCCACCTCATCTCCCCTGCCTCATCCATCTCTGTGCACTCCATGGCCCACTGCTTCCACTCCTGGCCCTGGCTACACTACCACTCCCTCCTCTGCCATCACCACCCACAGCCTCCTGTTCCCACCTATGCTGGCTCACAGTACCATCTTCATGGTCTTGTGGACCCCTCTGTCCCTTCTTCCTTTCCTCTAAGAGCTCCAGTTTGTCAGGCCCCTCTCCTGCCTCGCCCATGTAGGCTCCAGTTGTCCTAGGATTCCCCCCCCCTCGGGGGCCCCCTCCGTGCCTGCTGTCTCAGCAGCTGCTGCCTTTTCATCTCTGCACATTCCTGTTCCCATGTGGGCCTTTTTCTGGGAGGAACAGAACCTTTCTGCACGGCAGCTCCCTGGAGAGCAGGAGAGAGCAGGGGAGCAAGACAGCAGCCAGGAGAGAGAAGAGAGTGAGGTGGCCAGGGGCAGCTGGGGCAAGGGGCCTTCGGACACAGGAGGATGTGGGCTGGGAGAGGGAGGGGTGGGGGATAGGAGGCTGGGGTGGAGGTGGAGGTCTGGAGCGACAGTGGCAGGGGGCATGTGATGATCTCACAAGCAACACCCGAGGATGGGTCTGTGGGTGACCTGGTAGGGGGTGGTGACAAGTGGAGGTGTTGGAGTGAGGCATTGGAGCCATTTTTGGAGATTTAGGGGGCCTGGCAGAGACAGGAGGGGGTGCTATAGCAGAAGAGGGGAGTGGCTGATGGTCCAGGTAATGGGGAATATTTGGGGAGCTGAGAAGGGGCTTGATTTATGATGGGTGTGAGGTAAGTTCCATCATGAAGAAACAGGGGACCCTTGGGGGTTGTTTGGAGAGTTCTCAGCGTGGTTAGTGGTGGGCAAAGGAGAGGTCTAGATCCAGGCCAGGGGCCAAGGAGCTCTTTAGCTTATCTTGCTGGCATAATCAGGCACTCCTTCCCTGCCTTTCTTTCCCAGGCCCCAGCCTGAGCCTGGAGTTGCTATGGCAACTTCAGAGGAACCCATTTCCTTAGTGGTGTCTGTGGTACAGACTCTGGCCTGGAGCTGGGAGCTGTAGGCAAGAGGTCTCCTTTGCTCTCCCCACTTTCTCTCTAGGTCTCACCCAGTTCCCAGACACCATTCCTTAAGGACTCTGCTGCCCCTCCCTCACAATAGACTCTGCCTCCCTGCAGGTGTCTGGCTGAGGCTTTCCTCCCTTACCCCCTCCCCCTTCTCCAGGCAGAGGTGGGTGATGTCCCAGGTAGTCTAAAATATTAAGGATATTGAGGCACCCCAAGAACTTATGCTTCTGGCTGGTACTGTCCTATTTCTTCTTCCTTCCATGTTCCCAGAAACCCAGACAGTTGGAAGGGAGCAAAGACTTGGGAATCAGGCTAACACCAACCATTTCCTGTCACCTTGGGAGGGCACTGAACCTCCCTGAACCTTCAGCTTCCTTCATCTGTAAATGGTGGTAATATCAGTTCCTCTCTCGAGGGACTCCAGTATGGATGAAATAACTCAGTGCAAGTGAAGCCTTAATTCATGCCTGGAACACACTAAACATTTGGTGAGCTTGTTCATAAGATTTTTAGCTCTCTATGTGTCAGGTATGATAACACCTCTCAGAATCCTTTTTGCTCATCTTTATGTTTAACGTGCTCTCCCCACAATCCAGCTAGCGGATACTCTTGGGCATCAAAACTCTATTAGGTGTGGAGGTTTTTTGGTAAGGAGGTTCTTCACTCATCTCCCACACTCCCTGTTCAGACCCACTTGGTAGTTATTTCTGAACTGAGCTATTTCTGAGCTTGCCCCTTGAAGGGGACTTCTGAGCTTCTCAGAAGGACTTCCAAGGACTAGGAAGAACGTCTCCAGGAGGCAGACAGAGGAAGGTCTATATTGAGGGCTACAGGTATGGGGGCCTGGATATCCCATTCCTGTTTATGGTGTAGGAATGGGCTCAGGTTTGCACAGGAGCTAGGCCATCACTGGATGAGACATTGTTCTCTAAAGGCTGGTGCCTAGTAGAGAGGCAGTTGCTCATCTAGAGGCCACTGTAAAGGGCAAGTATTCTGCCCAGACTGGGCAGGGCTGCTGTGGGGGCCAGCTAGGGGTAGAAATAAGCAGGAGGCACATTACTGAGGGGGGCCCTACCCCATTTAGCCCTCTTGATTTCACTTCATCTTTGGATCCTCAATCTCATTCTTTCCTCTTCCTAATGCTCAGTTCTTACTGTTCCCCAGCTTCCCGGGCTCGAGGGAGGGGGCTGGCCAGAATCCCTGGGGCTGAGTCTGTACCTGGACCCAGCCAATAGCACAATATTCTGGTGCATGAGCCGCTGGCCTCTCCCCAGCACCTGCTCTGGCTGTGTCCTGGTGGGGGTGGGGGAAGGCAGGAGAGTCTGGCCCTTGTCACCCTAAGCCTGCCCAGCATGTCCCACCGTCCAATCCCTCTCACAAGCTGGGGGTCTAGCAGGGAAGGCCCCCTGAGTCCTTTGCCCCTCTTGGTCTTGCTTCTGCAGCAGCGTTCCTCAGAGCGGATTGCGGAGGGAGGAGCCTGACCTTCAGCCTCAGCCGGCCATCGAAGCCCCTCGTCCTCGCCCTGCCCTTCCGCCTCCCTCCAAGTCCGCGCTGCTTCCCCCGCCATCCCCTCGGGTGGGTAAGAGGGCTTTGCCGGGACCTAGTGCCCAGCCCCCGGCTACCCCCACGTCGCCCCACCGGCGTACCCAGGAGTCCTCGCTGCCCGAGGACACCACCACCGAAGAGAAGCGAGGGAAAAAGTCCAAGTCATCGGGGCCCTCGCTGGCAGGCACGGTGGAGTCCCGGCCGCAGACGCCACTGAGCGAGGCCTCGGGCCGCCTGTCCGCGCTGGGCCGCTCGCCGAGGCTGGTGCGCGCGGGCTCCCGCATCCTGGACAAGCTGCAGTTCTTCGAGGAGCGGAGGCGCAGCCTGGAGCGCAGTGACTCTCCGCCGGCGCCCCTGCGGCCCTGGGTGCCCCTGCGCAAGGCCCGCTCGCTGGAGCAGCCCAAGTCGGACAGCGGCGCGGCGTGGGGCACACCCGGGACCTCGCAGGAGGAGCTGCGGTCGCCACGGGGCAGCGTGGCCGAGCGGCGGCGCCTGTTCCAGCAGAAGGCGGCCTCGCTGGACGAGCGCACGCGGCAGCGCAGTCCAGCCTCCGACCTCGAGCTTTGCTTCGCCCAGGAGCTGGGCCGCATCCGCCGCTCCACGTCGCGGGAGGAGCTAGTGCGCTCGCACGAGTCCCTCCGCGCCACGCTGCAGCGCGCCCCGTCCCCTCGAGAGCCTGGGGAGCCCCCGCTCTTCTCCCGGCCTTCTACCCCCAAGACCTCGCGGGCCGTGAGCCCCGCCACCACCCACCTGCCTGCTCCCAGCAGCGCGGGCAAAGCTGGGGACGAGCCTGGGAGGCCCCGAAGCCGAGGGCCGGTGGGCAGGACTGAGCCTGGGGAAGGCCCGCAGCAGGAGGTTAAGCGCCGGGACCAGTTCCCGCTGACCCGCAGCAGAACCATCCAGGAGTGTAGGAGCCCAGTACCGTCTCCTGCTGCTGATCCCCCTGAAACCCGGACGAAAGCCCCCTCAGGTCGGAAGCGGGAGCCTCCTGCCCAGACAGTGCGCTTCCTGCCATGGGCCACTCCGGGTGTGGAGGGCGCTGCTGTGCCCCAAACCTTGGAGAAGAACAGAGCCGGGCCTGAGGCTGAAAAGAGGCTTCGCAGAGGGCCTGAGGAGGATGGTCCCTGGGGAGCCTGGGACCGCAGAGGGACCCGCAGCCTAGGCAAAGGTCGCCGGGCCCGGCCTACTTCCCCTGAGCTCGGTAAGGCCACAGAGAGGGCTGAGAAGGTGCCTTGACTGGGGTAAGAGGACTGGCCAGGGGCAAGACTGCTTGGGAGGAACTTTACTTGTGGCTACTAGGCTGTTTGGAGGGGCATGTGGTTTGTTGGCATTGACACAGGGGTTGAAGTAAGGGATGCTGAGGGCCTTTGTTGGAACCTGTCATTGGTGGAGGTGAGTGTGAGTGTGCTCTGTTGGAGGCTGAGTGGAGCAAAGATGTGAGCAAAGACTAGTGCCTGGATGTCTGCTGTAAGTCCTCTGCTGTCTGGTGGCTTCACTAGGCTGTTGGGCCAAGGGCAGGTTACTGGAGGAGGCACTGCTTGAAACCTACAGAGTCCTCATCACCTCTGTCCCTTTGTGTGGGAAGAGATGCTGTGAAATTCCTGTTAAAGGGATGCTTTGCTAACCTTTTACTCTGCTTGTCCTATCCCAGCACTGTTCCCTGACCCATCTCTGGCCACTAAGTTGTGAGCCAGGCTTGCCTCTTAGCCTCCCCTGGCCTAATCTTGCATTCTGCTTCACTGAACTGACTGTGGTACCTCCACATGCCAGGCTATGTGTAGTTTCCCTGCCTTCTATGCATGGTGAGCAACATCACTGACAGAATGCTGCTGTCCCTAACCCTGTACATCCTGAGCAGCAACTCAGGGCAGGGCCTATTCCTGGAGAAGCGGAGGAAGCCATCCTTGACTCCTCCTACTCCCTCTGCTTCTCCCCATTGTGCCCCACAGGTCTTGCCAGCATCTCTGTCTTTGCACTTACCAACTTGTATTTTGTTCTGTCAAAATCATCTTGCATTTAAGTATTGCCACATCGGAATCTTTAGAGGTGTGTAGACTCCAGTCCATCCTACTTACCACCATTACAGTATTCCCACCATGATGTCCCAGGGGTTGTGCCAAGTAGGCCCATAGAGATCTCATTTTTTTTTAACCAGTCTTTTTACCAGTATCAATAAAGTATTGAATGTTACATCTTCCAGATACAACAACTGAGGCTCAGAGAGATGATCTCATTTGCTGAAGATGATGTAGCTAGAAGTCTGCAGAACTGGGATCCTCACTGCCCTTTTGGCTATCTGCATTGTCCTTTATCTAGCTGAGGTTGAGGTAGAAAATACCAAGAGAGGGCTTGGAGGTATGGCTTAGTGGAAGAGCATTTGCCTAGCATATAAGAGCCCGTGAGCTCAACCAGCACATATAGAGAAGATACCTAGGGGGAACCACAACAGTGTGATTTTATTGTCTCTGTATGTGTACCATCCTTTCACAGGAAGCATATCTTATTTTCTGTTGCATTCCTGGCACTCAGTGCTCAGTATGTAATAAGTGTGGTGTCTCTATTTGCTGAAGGGATCGTTTCAATACTGATCTCCATAGGCCCTCTGCTTCCCTGCCACTACCTCTTTGGAATCTGGTGTCCTTCCAAATTTGACTATTCCCTACATGTTGCCCTGTGAAACAACTGTTACTACTTAGGTCTTGGGTGACCCATATCTTGTTCTTTACCCATGGATGCTTAGGTAGTCTTGTGGCCCTCAGAGTACCTTCATAGGGCCTATTAGGGTATACATGATGGCCAATTCATGTGAGGATATCCACCGCACACCCCACTATCCCCAAGAAGTCAGAATTGTGGGTGAAGTAGAGTCTCTGCTGCTGCCCTGTGCCAATTAAGCCTCTGACTTCCCCCTTCCTTTGTCTCAGGGCAGTCAAGAGAGAGACCCTTGCTTCCCTCAGTCCCTGTCTTCCAGAAATTCCTCACTCTGGGTTTTGGTTTTCTGGCGGTACTGCCAGTATCCCCTGTCCCACAAAGATCATGTTCCCTTACCCTCTCTACTTCTGCCCCTGTGTCTAGCAGAGTCTTCAGATGACTCCTATGTGTCTGCTGGAGAAGAACCCCTGGAGGCACCAGTGTTTGAGATCCCCCTGCAGAACATGGTGGTGGCACCGGGAGCTGACGTGCTGCTTAAGTGTATCATCACCGCCAACCCCCAACCTCAAGGTGAGCTGCAGGGCTGGAACCTGGCAGATTGTAATTGGGGGGACATGAGGGATGGGAACAGGGTGGGCTCCCCCAGAATTCTCTTAGGGAAGGGTGGGGAGGAGGGGAATTATCACTCCATGTACTTCCCTGGCCGTAGTGTGTTCAGAAAGATTAGCTCCCACCTCCCCAACTTAGGGCATGGCAGCCTAGACTTCTGGAGTGAGGGCAGAGTTCTCAAGAATTTCATTTCCCAAGGGGAAGGAGGGCTAGAGATGTAGCTCAGTTAGTAGAGTACTTGCCTAGCACACATTAAGTCCTGGGTTTGAGCTTCAGCACTTCATAAAACCAGATGTGTTAGTATGTCTATAATCCTGGCTACATAGTGAGCTTGTCTCACCAAAAAAAAGTTTTTTTCCTTGAGGTGGAAAAGCAGTTGGGGGATCCTTTGTTGGGGTGGGGGAGCCAGTTGAGATGAGATTCTCCAGCAAGCTCCTTGTGGACCATGGCAAGCTGGTTCCCATTGCTTTCCCACAGTGTCTTGGAGAAAGGATGGGTCGACACTGCGTAGCGAGGGTCGCCTTCTCATCCGGGCTGAAGGCGAGCGGCACACACTGCTGCTCAGGGAGGCCCGGGCTGCCGATGCTGGGAGCTATAATGCCACTGCCACCAATGAACTGGGCCAGGCTAGCTGTGCTGCGTCACTCGCCGTAAGACCTGGTAGGGAACCTGCGAGCCCAGGCTGGGTTGGGGGTGACCTATGACCCTTCCTAATGAACACAAGGACATGACCCATGTGCTGGGTCTATCTCTCTGGAGAAAGCGGTTTAAGTGGTCTTGGCCTCAGGACATATTCCAGGCTGGAAAATCCTTGAGGTTGGTGAAATTTGTCTTTAAACAAGTTTTCTAAATACTATCTTTCCAAGGCAATTTCCTGAACAGGGTCGTATGGAAAGGCCAATTGTCTTTCAGGATCTGAGAAAAAGAATATCTTAGCTCAAGGAGCATCTGAGTCCTTTGAACTCCAAGCCATAAGGAGGCTTCAGCTGAGAACACCCCAGAGATGGCTGTGCTGAGGCTGCCTTGTTGTCTATTTTTACAAAGGCCCCACACTTGGTGTCAGACTACTTCCTTTGGGTTTCAGCTCAGCTTCTTTCTGGTTCAAGCAGGGCTGGACAGGTATCCATGTGCATGGCCAGTTCCGCTCATCCAGGTGACTGGAACTGACAATATGCTGATCCTGGACAGTGGGAGAGGAAGAGGGCATAACAACAGGAAAAGGCACAGGAGAAACCCCTGGGAGGCTACCATTGGGCGTCCAAACCTGGCTGGGAGGCCTGCATTGAGATTCAGGGCCCTGGATGAAGCTGGGCATCAGACCACAGGAGTGAGGCAGGGTATACCAGGAGGGGAACAGCACACCCTGTCCTGAGCCTTCTTTCTAATCAGTGCTCAGAGAGTACTGTTGAGAGCCCTTTTATGCTTAGTCCCAAAACTTCAGCCCTCAATATATTCCTAGTGCAGGAGCTGTTGATGGTCTCTCAGCCCCTGGGCTGCATTAGCTCCTTTGGTTGCTTGTCTGGCTTTGGAATGGCAGGTCTTTTTCCTTCGTTCCATGTCCTTCCCAGGAACAGTGTTCAAGGCTATCTTCTTCTCCTCACCCACCCCCATGCTGAATCATGCCTGCCCCTCTACTGCATGCTTCTACCCTTCCATCACCTCTGGGATCTGGCCCCTGACTCAGCTCCCAACTCCTCTAGTGGGCCAAGGCCTAGCTTCAGAACTTCAGTCAGTACCTGGTTTGGGTTGAGCTCTGGAAAGGGGCAGGGTATGGGATGCCCCAGTACTGGCTGGGGGCCATCTAGAAGCCTTTTAAGGTTGGGAACGAAGCTTGGGGCAGGGCAGCTGTCAGCACTTGACTGGGAGTTCTGTGTTTGCCACATTGAACCTCCCCAAGCTTCAGTTTCCTCATTTGCAAACCAGAGATAATTATACCAGCCTCAAGATGAAAGCAAATGTGAGAAGGAGCTTTATGAACTGTAAAGCTGTAGACAAATGTTAGTTGTTAGCGTTTGGGAGTGATGTTGTGTACAGGAACTCAGCTTTCCATAAGGATCTGTAAAGTGCCTTGCCCTTCCCTGCCTTTTTCTTCACATTGTGTGTGCCCTGGGGACTACAACCCAGCTCTTTCAAAGCCCACTGCCTTCCAGACCCTCCCTATTGTCCAGCCCCTAGGTCCTCTCTGTGCCTGCTTTGCCCTGGGGAGCCAGAAAACCTTCATCATATTAGTCAGTTGCACCAAGCATTGCAGCAGACCCTGTAAGTCAGACTGGTTCCAGGGCCCTAAAGCTCAAGGGGCTGGCAGGCAGGTCCACACTCAGCACTTGTGGAGCAAGCTGATTTTCTTACCCTACAAGGCACTGTTTGGTCCAGAGTGTCTGGATGGGGGCCAGAGGGCCCAGAGAGTAGTCAGAGTGGGTGGAACCAGTGGTGGTAAAGACATATGGTAAGAGTTGGGGTCCTAGGGCTGGAGTCTGTAGGTAGTGAGGGATAGTGCTGAGAGGGTGTTTAGTCATGTGGGTGTAGGGAACAGGTGTAGGGAGGGTAGTACTGTCTTGTGGGAAGAGACTTGCATCAAGCCACCACCCTTTTTCACTGTCTCCCTACCCCCATTCTCAATGTCATGGAAACCAGGGCTTGCTGCCCAGTGCGTTCTTGGGGTGCCCACCCGATCAGAGCTTGCATTTGAAAGCCCACAGATGTCAATTCCTGGTTTGGAACCACAGTATCCAGGGCCCAGACAACTAGAGAATATAGCCCCTGGTTTGGAGAACAGGGACTGCTGTGCCGACAGCCTTACCCCAGCCCTGCATCCCTCTTACTCACTGAATAACACTCTCAAGTTAGGTGCAGATGGCGGGGGGGGGGGGGGGGGGGGGGGGGGCTCCTCAGGAGTGTGAGGTACATGCCTAACTGAAATGAAGCTTCTGACTGCTGCCTCAGCTGTGTCCCAGGCCTCTGTTTGTACCTGCTGTGCTGCTGCCAGGTGCTCTGCCTCTGAACAGTTGCTTTTGCTTGCAGAGAGCTGTGTACTGTTTTTGAAACCCTTTTGCATCTCTTTCCTCAGGCTTTATTGCATCACGCTTGTACACACGTGTGTATGGATGGAGATATATATGTGTTTAAACACATAAATATGCATATACATACAACTCTTCCTGTCTGTCCCATAGAGATTGCGTGTATGTGTGATATTTGTATCTTACAGATGGAAGACAAAAGTATGGAGAATATGACAGAATCAGCACCAGGCCAGTAGCCTGGGAATCTGCCTAGAAATGTTATTAGCAACAAATGATAGAGTAATGCATATTATGCTTACTCAAGAAACAAATAAACCTTGTGTGAGTTATGGACAAAAATAGCAATTATGGAATTTGTTGAATGTAGTCACATTCAATCTGATAGATAAAAAGTAGCCTATGGATGAATCCAGTTGATCAGGAGAAAGCACCAGGACACAGATAAAACTCTATCGGAATAGAGTTTATTAGCAAAGGAACACATGGGACAGATTCCCTTCTGGGCAGGGAAAATGTCTGCCTGGGTTGTAAGCCGAGTCTTTTTAAAGGGGGAGGCTTCTGCTTCCTGCACAAGGCAGGAAGATGTATTCTTTTTTTTTTAAGTTGGTGGGGTGGAGAGTGGGACTGTTAAAACCTGTCCTCTTTAGAGATCAAAGGGGAAGCCTGCTATGTTGGCCAAACACTGGAGAAAAGCCTGCTTCTCTTGACTTCAAAGACCAGGGTGCTTATCAACTCAGTTCCCTTTTCTCAGGGGCTTGTGAGGCCCTGTTGGTGAGGGGGCAGGGCTGTCTGAACCTTAACATTCCAGCCTTTTGTATTATAGGATAGGGGGCGCAGTCGTCTTGCTACTTCCTGATGGACAGGGTCGACATGGGGAGTGCTGGATTAGGGGTCAATCAGACAGCGGGGGTTCCCTCTTCATGCATCTCAGCAGGGTCCTCAGTGGTTGACAGGTGTTCATATGCATGTGGAGGGAAAGAAAGTAAAAACTGATCAAAAAATTAGTATGAGAGTAAGAGATAGTTTTTGGATTTTGGTCCTGAAAATATCTGAAGAGGCAAGGAGCAATGGTTAGCATCAAGGTAATAGCTCTTTTTCATTTTTTTTTCTTTTGCCAGGGCTGAACTTGGGAGTGATGGACTCAGGATTTGTTTTCAGGCATTTTGATAGCTGTTGGAGTGGCTAGAATCAGTGTCAGTTACCTCTCAAAGGCTTCTAAATAGGAAGAGAAAACAAATTTAGCCATCAGTAATTTTTTAGTCTAGAACAATAGCTGGTTGTTTCCCTTAGCTGTAGGTGGGCACTACAGTATTGTAGACCAAGATTTGAAGTCTTACACAATCCAGCCCATGGAGTATATTCTTTTGTTATATCCATGCCACAGATGAGGAAACTGAGATGGGACCAACTGAGCATTAGCAAAGTGCTCCAGAGCAGTGCTGACCAAGAGGCCTTTGTATGACAGTGGAAATGTTCTGTGTCTGCTGTGCTGTGCAGGGTGGTACACCAATCACACATGGCATTTGAGCACTTGAAATGTGGCTAGTGCAATTAGAAACTGCAGTTTCTGTTTAATGCCATCTAACGTCATGCGTGTTAATAATCTCAGCAGCTGGTGCTTTCCCACTTCTGTTGAGATGCTAACTGGGGCTACTGGAGTTTGGACGTTCCTAACTATTGCACCATCCAGTCCCTTTTGCTGCCACTCTGAAGAGGTTAAACGTTAAGGTGGGCCCTGAGCTTGCAGAGAAGGGATTGCCTAGGCCTCTGTGGGTGGTCAGATTTGGGGAGAAGGAGTGTCTCTTTTTCCTTTCTTGATTCCCCACCTCCCTCTTGTGTGGCCATGGTCCTGTTGTTTCCTGATGCTCTTAGCTCCTTTTCACTATGAGCTCTGGCAAGAGACCCTCTCAGTGCTAGGCAAGAGGAAGGAAGCTCCAAGTGCTCCAGTCTCCATCCCACTGCCTGCACATTTAATGTGTTTGAACCCAAGGATCTGGTGTTTTCCAGCCAAGACCATGGCCTCTTCACTTTGCCTTAACTGGCCTCAGTTTTTTTGTCTGTCATAAAAGGATCACCTTAACTGGTAGGCTATGAACTCAGTAAGACTCATGAAACTCTGAGGGGATGGAAAGTTGGCTGTGAATATTTGGAGTAGGGGCATGGTTCACTAGCTCATTCTGGTCCCATATGTAAGATCACTATCACATCAGAAAAGAGGCTGTTTATTGGGGATCATGAGCACAAAAGAAAAGGAAGAAAATCATGCCTCCAACCTCTGCCCTCTTTTCTTACCCCGGGGCCCTAGATGGCCATCTGCATAGATGCCGGTTTATTTCAGCTGATAGCAGTGGCTGATGATGGAAGAGACCTCAGAATGCCACCTGGCCCCTGTTATCCATATCGGTGGGGGGTCTGGACATCATTTGAAAAAGTAAGGTGCTTTTTCAACCAGACTTGACCCTCCCCCCATACTGTCTGCCAGCATCAGGGGTACCTGTGGGCTGTCTCCCCAAGGCTGTTATCTAGAATGGAGCTTATCACTCACTGCCTGTCACAAGAACGGAGACCTAATTTACTGTGGATGCAAACAGTTTATCTGACCTGAAGCAATCCAGCATAATTGTGTGTGAGAAATTCAACACTTACCTTGCTAGGTCAGGCTGACCATGTGAAATTCTCACCAGTGCTTCATACATTTTAAACTAAACCTGAAAGAGTCTCAGTACATTTCTCCTTGCCCCAGGGAAATAGGCCAGTCAGTTCTTGGAAAATGGTCATGTCAGCACACTGAGGCAAATACCACTTCCAGGCCCAGCCTTTCCTTCCCCTCACTTCTCCACTGGGGATCACTATAGTAGTCATTTCAAGAAGCACCTGTGGAGAACCTACAAAAGCAGTGCAGGTGGGGCTGGGGGTAGAGAACCAGAGCATGTGGAAATGCTGGCTAACTGGCTAACCTCCAGTCTGTTCCTCTCCCCCACCCCTAGATCATAGGAGCCTCCCTGTAGCCTTCAGAGTAAAGGTCAGTTCTTCAGAAGCCACCACCTTTCAGACTCATAGGTTGCAGGTCCTTCAGGGTGGTGGGAGGCAGCAAAGGGTTCCTGCCCTCACACTGTTGTTACCCACTTCTTTGTCACTCAACACTGTTAACAGATAATTGAGCTAAAAGCCTCTGAGCATGCACCCCTTGCCTCTGAATGTTTGTTCATATAAGTTCTTTCCCTAGAATTCTTTTCTCTCAGTTCCCTCATTCCCAGAGCCAAGAATCATCACCAGTACTTATTTGTGACCCTTATCTGCTCCTTCCTTGCCACCTCATCCCCCATTCCTGCTTGTTATTCTAGTCATTTGTATCTGGCTAGTCTACTTCCTATCAAGCCAAAAGTTCCTGAGGACATGCTGTATACTTCACTCCTTGGCCCTGCAGCCACACTTGGGCAGATTGGGGGCTGACTATGTAGATAAACAAGGCTTGGGGATGAGGTGGAGAGCAGTGGAAAGGAGTAGAGAGCCCAAGAAGCTCCAATCTTTGGAGCACCCTGAGTAGCCCATAGAAGCTAGGTGGGACACAGTAGCACGGGTAATAAGGCTCTGCCTGCCTGAGAGTGGAGGTTGGGGTGGCAGAGGAGACCACAAACATGTATTCCTCCAAGTATAGTCCCTAAACCAGGAGCATCAGCATCTCCTAGGAGTGTGTAGAGTCTGTCGCCCTGGGGTACAAGCCTATAATCCCAGCCACTGGGGAGGATGAGATGAGAGGGTCATAAATCCAAGAGCTGCCTGGGCTACAGATTGAGTTCAAGGCCACCCTGGGCACCATAAGGAGACCTTGTCTCAAAATAAAAAGTAAAAAAAAAAAGACTGGGAATATCACTCAGTGATAGAGTGCTTTCCTCGTATGTGCAAGGCCCTAAATTCAATCCCTAACATCACAGAACAAATAATCCAAACAGACTATTGGTCCCAGTCCAGATCTATTGGATCGAAAACTCTGGAGGTGGGTCCTAGCAGGCCATGGTCTAAGGAACCCTCCAAGCAATTCTAACACATAAAAAACTTTGAAAACCAAACCAACCAACAAGCCAAACGTTGAAAACCACTAGAGCAGGGAGTTAGAACCCTGGGGAAGCCAGACTCCTGGGCTTAAAGCCTTGCTCTAAAGTTGAATGGTCAAGTGCTCTAAGACTCAGTGAAGCCAAATATTTGGGTTCTCATCCACCCATGAGAATCTGCAGGGGTCCTAAAGCTGTCATGCGCCTAGAAATTTCCAGGGCACTTTTGAAAAAAAAAAAGCACTGTTCTTATGTCTTATTTCAGAAAATCCAGTTCTATAGGCTGACTAAGGTCTAAGACCGTAGTTCAAAATAAGCCGCAGGTGGTACTGATGTGGGTGGTTCTAGGATCTTTCTGACAGTTCTGATGTAAAGAGCCTTGTCTCCTGCCATTCATGTGCTAGATACTGTGCATGAGCTGAAGCTGTGTCTGTGATGAAGACACAGTGGGGAACAGTTGCAAGCAATTGGGATGCTGGGACCAATTGGATGCACAGGCCTGGGGAGTTCCTGATTTATGGGCTTCCTAATGCCAGATTTTATTAGATGAGGTTGGCCTGAGGGAGAGCAATGTTGAAAGGGAAGGTATGAGAATAGGGTCAGCACTGGGGACTAGGTCAAGTGTGAGGGAGTGGTCCTTTCTTGGTAAGGTATGTACATGTGCCTCTTAGGTTAGGGAGCACCTGCTCCCCCCCCCCCCCCCTTTCTCTTTTTTTTTTTAACAATGAAATCTGGGCTTGTGAGTAGAGCAGGGCTGGAATGTTAGGGACTGGCTACAAAGGTGATTTTGATCATGAGGCCAATGACAGGCGAGTGGAGCCTACAGTCCTCCATCAGCTATAGTAGCCTTTTTTCAGAGAGCACCAGTTCTATCCCTCTGGAGTCTGAGCCTCCAGCCTGGATTAGGCTGGCAGTTCCTCTCTCCAACTGGCTTGAGGACCTAGACTTGCTGGTGTGTGTGTGTGTGTGTGAGAGTAACACCTAGATGCTGTTCCTTCAGTGACCACCAGGGGTCTCTGAGGCATGCCACAAACCTTTGCCTATCCAGTTTAAATCTCTGCCCCACCCTCCTTTCCTCTGCCTGGGAGCTGCCTCAACACTGTCCAGCCTGGAGGTGACCCTGGAACATGACTCCAAGCTCCATGGAGGGAAAGGAGCCTCCACCTCCAAGGGCTGTGCCTATGATCTCAGTGTCAACTGGAGGCCAAGGCCTCCAGCTCCAAGTGCCGTTCTGATTTCTCTCCCCTCCCCTACCTTGAAGCAGCCAGCCAGAGGGTGGGCCCTCCTCTGCCTGGCCCCCACCTCCTTGCTCACTGGCAGTGCTGGGAAACACAGATCATAGCTTGGGAATGTGGTCCTGGGTGGGGTGAGGGGATAGAGGAGGGAGAAGAAAGTTCACAAGTGTGGCCCTAGCTCAACACCTCATTCTATTTCTTGCTGTTTTCAACCCCCTTCCCACAAATGGGTGCTGATGAGGAGGGGCCATTGGTGGGGAGTAGCCCACATTTTCCTGTCATTGTCCCTGGTGGTCTGATGGGTGAGGGCAAGTTGCCAGCAGGTATCCAGTAGAGCCTATGGGAGAGTTGAATGCAGGCCCATGCCCTGAAGTACCTACTACCCATGCAGACTTGCCATGGCAGGATTTGGTAGGCAGCAGTAGAGTGCTGGGCTCCTTCAGAATGACAGAGGGCACCTCTGGGAAGGAGGGCAAAAATCCTGACCACTCTCTAGACCTCTGTGCTTGTGAAAGCTGGCCATGGCCTGCTCTAGAGTTTGCGGCTGGTCATTCATTCCCAACTTGGGATGGGGGTTTTGGTGGTTTGGGGAGAACAAGGAACAGCATAGGGCCATTTGCCTTTGGCCCTTCCTTTGGTGAACTGGTCAACACTTAGGGGCCAAACATGGGTCTTAAATACCACAGTGAAGTGCCACCCCCCTCCCCATTTCCCTCTGAGGACTAGGGCCCCCTACCCCTGGAGTCCAGGCTCTACCCAGGGGCACTACTCTTGTCTTGCCCCGAGCTGTAAGGAGAGGAAAGGCAGATGGCAGACTGCTGATTGGGAATGAGCAGGGACTAAATTCAGCCGGACTGGGCTCTGCCCCTCCCTCTGCTCCTAGCCTGCTGCTCCAGGGGCTGCTGCCTGTGGTCTCCGGCAGGCACCACCTTCCCAGACAGAGCCTGCCTGCCACCCAGCTTCCTGCTGGCCACCCCCACCTCCTCCTTCCCCCTCCTAGGCTCACTTCCCCTCCCCCAGGGCTGGCTCTGTGCAGGGCCTCAGCTGGGTTGGAGAGTAAGTGGGGCTGGGCCGCTGACCGCCTGCTCCCTGGGGAACCAGGGTGGGTGGGCAGTGGGCAGACAGCAGGAGGGCCTGGGCAGAGAATCCCAGAAGGTGGAGGCAGGGGTCCTGTGCAGAGTCTCAGGGTGAGTTGGGGTGCAGCTTTGCTGGGGGCTTGGTTGGGGAACCAGGAGGAGGGGCCAGGGGGCTGTGGCAGATTCATGTCTGTATTTGGCAGTCGGATAAGAGCCAGCTCAGCAAGGCTGGGCCCCTGGCCAGTTGCAGGGGAGAGCGTCAGGGCCCTGGGGACACCCCTCCCCCAAGGCAGACTCAGGTGTCCCCCTCCTCTTTTCCCAAGCTGAGACACCCTTTTCTATAGATGGCTCTAATTCTATTTTCCTATCTCCTGGGAGTTTGGGGTTCATGTTGTAGGGCAAGGGCCAACAGGTGCCCATGGGGTGTCTATAGCAGGAAGCTGAGAAGGGAGAGGGGGAAGGGCTGTTTGGACACTGCTGCCTCATTGGCCCTGGACCGAGGTCAGGATGGGGCTTGTCTGAGGTGTGTGTTCCTCTGTGCCAGGCCCAGCTTGCCTAAGAAGCCAGTGTTTTGGTGCTACGTCCTGGGGTCCCAGAGATATGAACCACCCCCTTTGGAGCATATGATTGGTAGTTTGGAACCTGCCCTCCATTCCATACCAAGAATATGAGTTTCCTGCTCCAATAGAATTCGGGGTCTCCCCCAAGGCCCAGGAGCCACCCTTTCGGTGGTCAAATCCTTTCCTGCAAGCTATTCTTTGTAGAGTGTCATCAGGGTCAGAGTTGGCAGGGTGTGAGGCTGAGAAGGAATCAGCCTCAGGGAGGGGAAGTGACTGGACAAGGTCACACAGCCAGTGAGCTGAGCCCAGGAGGGTGAAGTCAGGGCAGGGCCTGAAAGAGCTGCTCCATCTCTCCAGCTCTGCAACATAACCAGGCACCCCTCTCCATCCTTTCCCCCTGATATCCTTTGTCTCTCCTTTAGGCGGGTCCACATCCCCTTTCAGCAGTCCCATCACCTCTGATGAGGAGTACCTGAGCCCCCCAGAAGAGTTCCCAGAGCCTGGGGAGTCCTGGCCCCGAACCCCCACCATGAAGCTCAGTCCCAGCCAGGATCGAGGCTCTTCCGACTCTGCCTCCAAGGCACCTCCCACCTTCAAGGTCAGACCCCTGAGGCTGGTACCCAGCCCCTTGTGGATGCCATTCCTTTGCAAACCCCTGGTTTTTGAGGCCATATTTTAGCTTCACATTTAAATTAATGAAACCTTGCCCCATTAATGCCCTTGTTACTCTGGGACAGCCATGGACTGGTGTGGAAGAGAGACCTCTGTTCCAGGTCCCCCAGCCCTCAAGAGCCAGTGCTATCTATGTTTTGTTACCCCTGATGCTTTGGGATTCCTCTTTAGGTCTCACTCATGGACCAATCTGTAAGAGAAGGCCAAGATGTCATTATGAGCATCCGAGTACAGGGAGAGCCCAAGCCTGTGGTGTCTTGGTAAGTAGCAACCACCTACACCACGCACTAGTGCCCCTCACCTCCCAGGCTGAGCCTGAGAGCTGGTTTTGGTGGAAGGGAACAGAGCCTTAGAGACCTTCCCTTGAGGCTCCAGCTCGTATATCATTACCACTCCCCGAGTGCCCCTGCTGCTGTTTAAGTCTTATCCAGGATTTCCTGTGCTAGAGAGACATTTGAACAATGATTGGTTCCATGTCTGCCCACCTGGAATGAAATGGCCAGAATTTCTCCCACTCTGCAGAAGACAGCCTACCTCCACCCCATCAGCTGATGCAGGATAGCTTTTGAGACCAGTCCCATTCTATGCCCAGCCTCTGGCAGGCCCAGTCATCACAGTTTGTTTCAGAGTTGCCCAAATTCTGAGTTGAATATAGGTCTCCGCTGCTGTGCCTTGCTTATCATGCCAACTACTTGGCACACCCATTATTCATTGTGGTTTGGTTTTTTCCCATTTTTTAATTTATTATTATTTTATGTGTGGGTATATTACCTACATGTATGTGAGTGCACCTGAGTCGTGCAGTGCCTACAGAGGTGAGAAGAGAGCCTTGAATTTCCCTGGAACTGGAGTTATGGACAGTTGTTAGCCACCATGTGGGTGCTGGGAATCGAACCCAGATCCTCTGCAAGAGCAACCAGTGCTCTTAACCACTGAGCCATCTTTCCAGCCCTTTTTTTTCTCATTTTTAAAGATTATTTTTATGTGTATGAATGTTTTGCTTGCATATATGTAGGTATACCACATGTGTGCAATGCCCACAGATGCCAGAAGAGGGTATCAGATTCCCTGGAACTGGAGTTACTGATGGTTGTTAGCTGCCATGTGGTTGCTGGGAACCAAACCCCAGAGCCCTTTGCAAGAGAAGCCAGTGCTCTTAACCACCAAGCCATCTCTCTAGCCCTGTTTCTTCATTTTTAGTTGATTGTGTTGTCTCTGGTGTGATTTCTTTTTTAAACATTGCAAGTTCTTTAGTATCCCTTTTGGGAAATGGGAAGTCTATGTTTCTGTTACAAATAAATGGAAATAAGGTATGGGGACATTTAGGACTTCTAAGAGGCCAACAGCTTCTGAGAAAGAGATCCAAGTGGGCCAAGGTGGTCGGAAAGTTCTTGGAGAAGGTAGGAAGGTGGAGTCAGAATGAAACCTAGCCTTGGGTCCTGGAGGTGCCACGATCAGCCAGTGGGGAGGAGAGACCTGCATGACTGCAGCCAGCCCCTCTACCTCAGTTGTGGTGCATGCAGGTAGAGACCTCAGATTCTGGGATTAAGTTCTTATCTCTCTGACAGGCTGAGAAATCGGCAGCCTGTGCGTCCAGACCAGCGGCGCTTTGCAGAAGAGGCTGAGGGTGGGCTGTGCAGGCTGCGGATCCTGGCTGCTGAGCGGGGTGATGCCGGCTTCTACACCTGCAAGGCAGTCAATGAGTATGGAGCTCGGCAGTGTGAGGCCCGCCTGGAGGTCCGAGGTGAGAGGCCCACATACTCATGACCCCCCTACCCCCACTTCCCATGCACCTGTCCCTGGCACTCACCCTACCTACATATAACCTCAGTTATAAGATAATTACACTGAAAGAGCCATGGAGGTTCTCTAATCCAACTGCTTATATTGTAGTTGGCTAAACTACAGCCCAAAGAAAGGGAGTCTCTTACCCAAAGCCACACAGCAAAGAATCCCATACTCAGCTAGCTACCCAATCTGCTGTCCCGAGGTTCCATCACAACAGCCCCTGACATTAACCGGAGACTCTGCTCCCTGCAACCGGCCATCTCCTTTCTGTATTCTTTTAAGATTTTGTCACCCTGCTTGGTCCAGGCCTCTCCTTCACTGATTCCCTGCCCTCCTCTTGCCCCCTTTGTTCTTCCTACACATCTGATTGCTGTGCAGAAGCTCTTGTGGTTGGGAGAGTCTGGTGGCTGGACCCGTTCGAAGGGACCCTTGGGGTGTCATTGGTACAGAACATTGCAAAACCTCAGGGGCACCAGAGCCCTGAAGTATGGAGAGGGCTGGGCCATAAGGCGGGTACATAAGACAGAGGGCTCTCAAGGAGCAGGCATGACAGGAGCTAGCTAGGCTGCCCTTTGAAGGCTGCTGGGTCACTCCTCCAGAGGCTGGCCATTTGATTTGCTTGGCCTTCTCTCCCTGTGATGGCACAGGACTAGGAAGTTCTCCTCAGCCCCTCACCCTACCATGGTCCCTCCCTGCCCCACATTGGGCTCAGTTCCTTCAAGCCTGGCAAAGGCCAGCTCTAGGACCAGCCCAAGACACTCCTAGGTACCTGCTGGAATCTAGATCTTAACAGTCCTGGCTCCTCTGCCAGGCCTTACCTGCCTTATCCTCCCCCCGTTCCTCTTGTTGCTGTGGTTGCCACCTCTGAGCTCTAAATTCTTCAGCCCCATTTCTTAGCCTCTTCCTTCTCCAGGGTTGGGCTCTGCCTTGCTTCTCTGTGTTAACCCATGTCTTGGTGCTTCTTTCTCTTTGGGATCCCTCTCAACATTCTGCAGGCTTTGGGGTGCTCCTGATGCCTATGAACGCCTCTCCCCTTGTTGCTCAGGGCCTCTGCCTGCCGAAGAACTCCAGGGACCAGGCTAGCCATTGGCCCTCCCACCACAGGGCTGACCTAGGGAGAGCTGAAAGTGGCAGATTTAGAGGCAGCTCCATATCCAGAGGGGCCCTAGCCAGGTCTGTGCGCCTGTGTGTGTGTGTGTGTGTGTGTGTGTGTGTGTGTGTGTGTGTGTGTGCTGCACTAACCTGCCGCTTGCTGACTGAGGTTTTTGTCTGTACACAGGCGAGTGAGCTCAGGGGGCCACCTGCGCTGCCCCCGCTACCCTCCGAGCCGCACCCCTGTCTCAGGCACCTCTCGGACCTCGCTGTGTTTCACTGCCTCCTGCCCACAGACCCAGCCGGCCCGTCGGTCCGGACCTATCCCAGCCTCCCCTTCCCTCCCCAGCCCATGCAACACCCTGGGGTAGTCCATGGGACCCTCTGAACCCTCCCTCCCCAAGTGGACACATGGCTGTGCAGGCCGGGAAGCCCCCAGATGGACTGAGTGCTGGGAAGGGACAGCCATGAGGGGTGCCAAGCTCCCCAAGTCTCCCTGTAGGGAGCACCAAGCGAGTGCATGTGCTATGCTGCTACAGACCACTGTCTGTCTATCTGTTTGTCTGTTTGTGTGTCTGTGACAGTCAGGGAAGGATGCCTCTGAACTGGGGTGGGATAAGACAGAATGAGAGAGGACAGAGCATGGCATCCATAGGATGGAGGGGACCAGAGGGGCAGATGCTATGAGCAAGATCTCTGGGAGGGGGCAGGGCACTGACCATTCCAGAAATGGGTTTCAAATGGCACAACACTTTATATTCCACAAGATACCAAAAGCTGGAGGCTTCAGGCTGAGCCCTGGCCCCTGGCAAGCTTAGGGCTCAGTGGGGCACCCTCCTTTACAGCCAGGTCCAGCACATTTTGTCTGGCAATGTGAGAGGCAGCCAGGCTGGGCACAGGAGTGGGGCCACACTGGGGGTGAAGGTTCAGAAACATTATTTCTTAGAGCAAATAAAGTCCAGTTTGTACCCAGCTGGTGTGCTGTGTTTTCTTTGCCGCCGCCGTTGCTACCACTGTACAGTACTCTCGGATCCCCTCCCTCAGTTCCCTCTCACCACACATCAGCTCTCCCTCCCAGAGCCAACTTGGGTTGCCATCTCAGAGCCAGGTCTAGGGGCTCCTTGTTGTTCTGCCCGGGGCGGATGGGCTTTCCCAGGCTCCAGAGGAACCAAATGCATCTCTCTTTCTGTATCTGTCTGTCTCTCTGTGTGTGCGTGTGTGTGTGTCTTGCCCCGTGTGTCTCTGCTCTGTCTGTGCCCCCTGTGGCTGCCTTCCCCCCAGCACACCCTGAAAGCCGGTCCCTGGCCGTGCTGGCCCCCCTGCAGGACGTGGACGTGGGGGCCGGGGAGATGGCGCTGTTTGAGTGCCTGGTGGCGGGTCCTGCTGATGTGGAGGTGGACTGGCTGTGCCGTGGCCGCCTGCTACAGCCTGCGCTGCTCAAATGCAAGATGCATTTTGATGGCCGTAAATGCAAACTGCTGCTCACTTCTGTGCATGAGGATGACAGTGGCGTCTACACCTGCAAGCTGAGCACAGCCAAAGGTAACTACACATTCTGGTGCTAGGAGTTCTGTGGTGCCCACAGCTGGAGGGAGGGTACTGAAAGAGCTGTGTGCAGAGCAAATGCCCAGGAAATGGCACTCTGACTGCTGGGGGTGGGGGTGGGGAGGAGATATTGTGGGATTCTGGTCCCTGAACAGTGAAGTTGCCAAACATGTCTTTGAACAAGTCATTTCCTCTGGGCAAGCTTTAGACTATTCATCTGTAAAAAGGGATGGTGTTCACACCTACCAGGCAGAGGGGACAGGTGGCAGGATTACTGCAATAACTCCTATAGAGAACAAAGCCTGGCACCTGGCAAAGGGTGGCGACTCATGGATGCCTGCTATTCTTACTACCTCTGACATCTCTGCCCTGGTCCCATTTTCCTTGAGGAGCAGAGTGAAGTCATTTGCTTCTGGGGTGGGGGATGTAGCATGGGGCCAAGAAGCATCTGATCTGGGTGTGGGACAAATGGGAGCGAGTATGGGCATGAACCAGGCACAGAAAAGGGTCTGGGCAGTGGGCTTAGCTTCTAGAACCTTCTCAGAGTCAGGCTGTGTTTTATCCTGAACGTGCAGAATGAAGACGGTACAGCTTGGTTGGGTTCTGGGCTCCATTGCTGCCCATCCTTGCTGACTCCAGCCCCCTAAGGAAGCCTGGTCTTCGAATCTTGGCCCACTGCCTCAGCCTTCATGCTCAGAACTTTTGTAGGGCTCCGCTCAGGCTCCTAAGGTGGGGCGGGATCTGTGAGATGGGGTGTTTGAGCTTCCATGGTCTTTCCTGACCCAGTGCTGTCCCCTTCCTCCCAGATGAACTAACCTGCAGTGCCCGGCTGATTGTACGGCCCTCACTGGCACCTCTGTTCACCCGGCTGCTGGAAGATGTGGAGGTGCTAGAGGGCCGTGCTGCCCGCTTTGACTGCAAGATCAGTGGCACCCCACCCCCCTCTGTTACCTGGACTCATTTTGGTATGGTTCCCCCTTCTGAATATGTTGGGAAAACTCTAAAAGGCCCAGGCTAGGATGGGTTGTACCCAGAAGGCAAGGCCCTCTACTATAGCAGCTTTGCTTCCTGCTCCCAGGCCACCCCGTGAATGAGAATGAGAACTTGCGGCTATGGCAGGATGGGGGTCTGCACTCGCTGCACATTGCCCATGTGGGCAGTGAGGATGAGGGGCTCTATGAGGTCAGTGCTGCCAACACCCATGGCCAGGCCCACTGCTCTGCCCAGCTGTATGTGGAGGAGCCTCGGACAGCCACTTCTGGTCCCAGGTACCACCCACAACCCCCGGTGCCACCTGTACCACCTCTGAGGAACTCTTACCCTGTGCTGGGAGGGTATAGCTGTGCACCTCTGGGCAGCCGTGTGGTTCTTACAGCTCAAAGCTGGAGAAGATGCCATCCATTCCTGAGGAACCAGAGCATGGAGAGCTGGAGCGGCTGTCTATTCCTGACTTCCTGCGACCACTGCAGGACCTGGAGGTGGGACTAACCAAGGAAGCCATGCTGGAGTGCCAAGTGACTGGCTTGCCCTATCCCACCATCAGCTGGTTCCATAATGGTCACCGCATCCAGAGCAGCGATGACCGACGCATGACACAGTGTAAGTGACTGGGAAGGGACCCTTGGGATGGTCCCATCCAGCAACTCTTGGTTTTGAGGGGTCTTCCTTCTCCCAGGGCCCTCTCAAAGCTTTCCCTTCATAGTCTGGTTAGGATGGGATGTCTGGGGAATGGAGCCTCCAGGGGCTGTGAGGTCACACTGCTGAGTTGCCTTGAGTAGCTCTGTTAGCACTTACTGGGCAGGCAGTACAGCCTACTGCTGATCAGCATTAGGACTGAAAGTGGGTTGTAGAATCCACCATGCCTTTCCTCATCTGTAACTGAGCTGTGATGATCACTTCAGACATATACAAAGCACCAAGAGCAGTGCCTGGCAGATAATGAATGGTCAGCAAATGCTACATCTTATTGCAGTTTTCGTTGTCACTATTCTCACTATTGTTGATAAAGCAGTGCTTCCCATATGCCTGAGAAATCACAGTGGAAGGGCTAGCCTGGGCAGGGCCTGGCTGGGGAAGGAGGGGTCTGGGATTGCTGATAAATGATAAATAAGGAAGAAGGAGTTGGGGATACACAGAGCAGCATACTTGGATTGGCATCCTTTTGACCTGGTTGTTTTCCCAAGGGAACGCCTGTGCGCCATCCATGAAGTAACCTGAACCTCATGTGAGGTCCTCCTGCCTCCCTTAGGTGGTACCTACACTGTCACCTATGAGGACCTCCTGACTCATGCCCATTTTTAAACACTGCTCTTGACTGGGGATGTAGTTCAGTTGGTTGAGTGTTTGCCTAGTATCCTTGAAGCACTGGGTGTGATCTCTGGCACTGCATAAACTGGGCATAGTTGCACACACTTGTAATTCTGGCACATGGGAGGTAGAAGGAGGAGGATCAGAAGTTTAAGGCCATTCTTGACTGCAATAGTGATGTTGGGGTTCATTTGTACTACATGAAAACCCTGACAAAGGAAAGAAAGAAGGAAAGAGGGAAAAACAGAGGAGGGAGAGAAGAAGAAAACAAAAGAGGAAGGGACAGGAGGGAGGGAGGGAGGAAGGAAGGAAGGAAGGAAGGAAGGAAGGAAGGAAGGAAGGAATGACTGCTTCCTCCAATGGCTGTCATTGCTCAGCCATAGCCCTTCCTGTGTCCCCATCTACTGTGAGGCCCTGGGTGGGTGTCTGTCTCAGGATTTGAGCTGGCGTCTTTGCTTCTGCCTGCATTTGGGGTGGAAGGAAGGAAGGAAGGAAGGAAGGAAGGAAGGAAGGAAGGAAGGAAGGAAGGAAGGAAGAAAGGAAGGAAGGAAGGACTGCTTCCTCCAATGGCTGTCATTGCTCAGCCATAGCCCTTCCTGTGTCCCCATCTACTGTGAGGCCCTGGGTGGGTGTCTGTCTCAGGATTTGAGCTGGCGTCTTTGCTTCTGCCTGCATTTGGGGTCACTGGCAGCTTTTGGTTTCTCTCCCCTTATAAATAGTGTCAGCAGAGATAAATGAATGGATGGCCATTCTACTCAGAGATAACTGCTAAAGGAAGGGGGGGTGTTTGGGGACATCCCTGATATGAAAGAGGACAGTACAGGCCCCTCCTCTTTGTGTCCTGGCAGAAACAGCCTCCTTATCACTGACGGAGTAGAGTGCAAAGAAAGAGCATTGGAATAAAATGGAACTTAAGTTCAAACCGTGGCTTCATCGTTTATTAGCTGTGTAACCTTGGACAAGTCAATTAATGTCTTTGACCTCATTGGTAAATGGGGATAATTTTGTAGAGTTGTTGAAAGCATTAAGGCTGGGAAAAGCATGTCAAGTACCTGGCATAGGCTGAACACAGAGCAGGCAACTCTTACTATAATTTATAATATGAAACGTATCTGGCACTTACTGCATGCAAGGCGTTGAGTTCTTGGTAGAACAAGCAGATCTGAACAAAAGTAAGAGTACAGTCTAGACAGGAGCTGTGACTCATGGAAGTGAAGAGGAGGAATCTCCCAAAGCATGGGTCCTGGTACCCAGGAATGAGCAGCCAGAGGGCCAGAGGCCCAGGAAGGGCAGGATCCTGGGAGGGGAGGGGCAGGGGGCCATTTAAGATGGGCTTCATGGGGCTGCATACACTTAAAGTGTGTATTGAAGGAGAAGGACGCTTAAGAGAACATTCTAAAAGGGAGGAATTGGGTGAGCAAAAACCCAGAGATGAAGTCACATGGCTTGTTTAGGGACCTGATGATCTGTGAGTCAGGGGAGAGTAGCAGCAGCGATGGTAGTAAGAGAGTTGGGGCAGCTAGGTTTGGCTGATCTCTGGGAGGACTTTCCTCATACTCTGCTGGAGATGAGGGACAGGCAGCAGCCATAGAGAAGAGCCTGGGAAAGAAGAGACTGTGGAAGTAGCCTACTAACAAAGTCTTGTCCGAGCTTTGATTTGATGGCTATGCCTCCTTGAAAGTACAGAGATGAGGAGACTGTCATGGGGGAGGGATGTCAAAGGTGGACCCTTTGTGAGAAGATACAGGTTCTGGCCTGAAGTGCTGAAGGGACAAGCGGGCCCAAGGCTACAGCTGCAGGCTCAGGCCAGCATTGGCTATAGGAAGCCCATGCTTCTTGGTGCCTGCCCTGCCCTTTCCCCCTTGCCCTCTTCCTGCAATGGGTAGAGTATCTGAGGCCAGGCCTGGGCTGGCATGGGCCCACCCAACAAAGTATCCTCCTAGATTACCCATGTGTCACTGTTCTTCCCCTATCAGACAGGGATGTACATCGCCTGGTGTTCCCGGCTGTGGGGCCTCAGCATGCTGGTGTCTATAAGAGCGTCATTGCCAACAAGCTGGGTAAAGCTGCCTGCTATGCCCATCTCTATGTCACAGGTGAGGCAGATATCCTTCCAGGCAGCTATGTCTACCACCTGGCCTCTGGTATCACCCAAGGGCTCAGCCAAAAAGGAGCCTCCACACCAGCTTCCTCTCTATTCCCTGGGAGAGCAGCTGGCCTTGCCCTTGTCAGCCCCAGCCTTCTGCCCAAGGGTTGGTGATCCTATGGAGCTGCTAAGTTCTAAAGGACCCCATACTTCCTACCTGTGGTTTGCAGATGTGGTTCCAGGCCCTCCAGATGGTGCTCCGCAGGTGGTGTCTGTGACTGGAAAGATGATCACACTCACATGGAACCCTCCCAGGAGTCTGGACATGGCTATTGGTGGGTCAGGGCCACACAGGTCTGAGGGTATTAATGAGGTATGGAAGGAAAGGTTCAGGTGAAGGGCATCAAAGGGCCCAGATCCTTGAGTTTGTCAGAGGACAGGAGTGAGTGGTATGCTGGGAGTGAGGCCAAGAGCATCTTCACTGTTTCTTCTTCTCTAGACCCAGACTCCCTGACATACACGGTGCAGCACCAGGTATTGGGCTCAGACCAGTGGACAGCACTGGCCACAGGCCTGCAGGATCCTGAGTGGGCAGCCATAGGACTGCGGAAGGGGCTCCAACACATCTTCCGGGTCCTCAGCACCAGTGGCAAGAGCAGTAGCAAACCCTCAGCACCTTCAGAGCCTGTACAGTTGTTGGAACACGGTAAGTCATGTGGATGGGGGGAGGGACCCATAGTGGAGGCTTGAGGACTACTCTGGACTTGACAACTATGACTGGAACAGTTGCTGGGTGAGACCCCAGCCCATCAGTGGCAGCCACGTTCTGGGTACAAAGCTGAGGCTTTGGTATCAGTAGTCCTTGCTTAGGTGCTTCTGTGTTCCTCCTCTCTGAGCCTCAGTTTCCCCATCTGTAAAATTGGAGCTCTAGTAGAGGAGCAGAGGGTGTCATGGCCCCAGCATCAGCCCAGCACAGAGCCTGAGTTTTCCTCCCACTAGGCCCACCCCTGGAGGAAGCCCCTGCTGTGCTGGACAAACCAGACATCGTGTATGTGGTAGAGGGACAGCCTGCGCGTGTCACTGTCTCCTTCAACCATGTGGAGGCCCAAGTTGTCTGGAGGAGGTAGGGCCTCCCCTGCTCACCACACTCCCTACCTGAGACAGCCCAACCCTGGCCCTACCTGGCAAGAGCTTCCTGTCCCTATCTCCCTTAGCTGCCGAGGAGCCCTCCTAGAGGCACGTGCAGGTGTGTATGAGCTGAGCCAGCCAGATGATGACCAGTATTGTCTTCGTATCTGCCGAGTGAGCCGTCGAGACCTGGGGCCCCTCACCTGCACTGCCCGAAATCGCCATGGCACACAGGCCTGCTCCGTCACCCTGGAGCTGGCAGGTGGGTGACAGTGGGCTTCTTCCTAGTCTTCCCTCTGAGGCATGCACCTCTCTCTGCTGGAGATCCAATCTCCCTTTCAGGCCTATAATTGGGTAATAATAACAGTATTACACATGATTACAGTAATAATACTAATAAGGTTTTTATTGACCATGCATGGTTACATGGGTCTATGATGCCTGCACCCAGGAGGCTGAGGCAGAAAGATTGTGAGTTTGAGGCCACATAGGCTACATAATGAAACCTAGTCGCAAATAAAAAATTTTAAAAAGAGGCCTGGGGTTGCTGGAGAGATGAGTCAGTGGTTAAAGAGCACTGGCTGCTCTTGCAGAAGACTGGGCCTCAGTTCACACCACCCACATAGGGCTAGCAACCATCCATAACTCCAGTTCCTGGAGATCCAACATCCTCTTCTGGCCTCCACAGGCATTATATGACACAGATGCACTTACATACATGCAGGCAAAACATTCATACACATAATAAATAAAATTTTGTTTTGGTCTTTTGAGACAGGGTCTCCCTGTAGCCCAAGCTGGCCTGGATCTTGCTATGTAGACCAGGCTGGCCTTGAACTTAGAGATCTGCCTGCGTCTACTTCCTGAGTGCTGGGATTAAAGGTGTGCGTTACCACACCCAGCTAATTAATTAATTTTTAAAAAGAAGCTTAGAATGTAGTTCACTGGTAGAGTGTAGAGCACTTGCCTAGCGTATACAAAGCCTTGGGTTTGATCCCTAGCAACACATACACACACATACACACGCACACACT